CCATGCTCTTGAGACTGTGCTGGTAGACAGAGCAAACCTTCTGGCAATGGCACGTATTGATGTGCCATCCCGGAGGAGTTGGACTGCCTGTGCAACCTTTGTAGGGTCCAGGTATCGCCTCATGCTACCAGTAGTGACACTGAGCAAAGCCAAATGCAAAACTAGTGAAAAACAGTCAGAAAAGATGAGTAGGGAAAAAAATGTCAGTGGGCTCCACCTGTAAAACCATTCCTGTTTTGGGGGGGTCGTCTCATTGTTACCCATCTAGTGCACCTGTTGTTAATTTGATTAACACAAAAAGCAGCTGAAACCGATTAACAACCCCCTCTGCTACTGACCAGATCAATACCCCAGGAGTTTAATTGACTTGATGCTATACTCTGATTAAAAAGTGTTCCTTTAATTTTTTTGAGCAGTGTAAATATCCCCTGTGATAGCAATGGGCTGTGACAGGTACTCTTTTCTGAGAAATCTGGGGTCTATTAGACTCTACATCTCTCCTCTGCCCTTAAAGCATCTGATCACACCAAGATAGCTGTGATCAGATGCTTTCCCAATTTAAAAATTACGCTGTTAATATCCGGCAAAACGTAAATGATGAAATGCTCGTAGCTTCTAGTTTCTTAGACCATAGAGTTGATTGGAGGCATTCTATGGTCAATTGGTGGAACTACCGGCTGCATTCTCAGGTTTCCCTGTGGGATGGGAGAGCCCTAGAAAGCCTTGGAAGGCGGTGGGGGGGGGGGGGGAGTGGGAATGTCCCTTCCCACTGCTTGTAAAAATGATTCAGCCGCTAATTAGCCACTAGGATTGCTTTTACATGAAAGCTGACCCCAGCTGAAGAAAGTGATACCAGAATGATGCTTTCAGCCAGAGGCGTATCTAGAACCTTCAGGGCCCCAGTGCAAGAAACCATGAAGGGCCCCCCTAACTCCTCACTTCCCTCTGAGTTCAGGGCCCTGCAATTGCTCTGCAATGCAAAACTTGCTTTGAACTGTCATGAATGGGTTAAGTTCATGACAGTTCATAATACAGTGATCTGTGATTGGCTCCAGCTGGTCACATGGTACAGGGTGCTGAAACTGGCCTCATATATCATGTGAGAGCTGTGAGCCAATCACAGTTAACCAGGAAGAGAAGCAAAGCTGTTATGAATCAGGAGAGGCAAAGCGACGTACCGGTACATTTCTTTGCCTGTAGCTGTCGCCCGTACAATGCAGGCAGGCATTCTTAAAGTGGTTAAGATGAAATTGTATTTATTTTTTTACAGGGTTTTTTTTTTCAAAATTGTGTTATTCTTTTTTGTTTATAGTGCAAAAAAACTCCAAAAAACAGTGATGATCAGTCTTTACGGGACTGAGTCACTTTTGCAGCAGTTGTTTTCTTATTCTGGGTCACAATCCTGCAGAATGTACTTTTGTCTCTTTCGACTGTGCTTTTGCTTATCAGACGACGTTTTCCAGGGAAACCGTATCTGCAGTCTTAACCGTTGCTCCTGTACCACATGGCATGGCAAAAAAATTGGCAACTTCAGTCAAAGAGGCAACAGCTAAGTGGGCACCAACAATTCACCCTCTTTGAAGCTTAGTAAGCCCTGACATGATTTGTATTACTAGCAGCGCATGCAGTGAATGATGAAAATGGGGCTTCCTGCATGTTAACGAGGTGTCTCAGCACAAAGCAGAAGCAAAAGAATGTTATATTACGTCCACTTTAAATGAGAAACATGTCATCACTTTCATGCCTGCAAATCATGTAGTGTTTCCATTTTTTTGCTTAACCCCTGTATGTATGTGCCATACCTGTGGGATCCTCATGGAAGCTGGAAATCTTCATTAGCTTCTGGGTCCCTGCCGAGTGATGACTGAGTGGTAACACAAGTGCCATTCTGGAAACATGTTGCATATTCTCATTGGACACGAGGGAGAGGTAGGGTGGTGATGTCACAACACACACCTTGTCCAATCATGGAACACTTTTTATTCACTAAGATAATGCACATTGTTCTCTGAATGGTGCCCATGCCAATAGAGTGACCTCCTGTGTTCATAATGCAGCAGAGAAGCTGCTTGGCATGGGGCCAGGAGACTAGTGGCAAACGATGTAGTAACAGTGCCTGCTACAATGATTTTTCCGCTTATACAGGGATTCCACAGGTACGGCACATACATATTTACATTAGTGCAAGCTAGACCAAGGTAACTATGTAAAAATTACCCTAAACTTCAGCTTTAAGATTATAGTTGTTCATTACTTGTCCATAGTAAGTTTAGCTCAGTACTGCATATTACGTTAAAATCTCCTTTTCCTTCTGTGATTCTTATGGATTGTGATGATACTTTTAGTTCTGAAATAATTACATTTTCTACACAGGTGATTATCTTTATTCTCAATTAAACTGGTTCCTTTGTAATTTGACAATTCCACACTTCATCTATACCTTCATTTTCATGTCTTGTAATATTTATTTTTAGTGATCATAAATAATTCTACATAAAAAACCTAATAGCTGTGTTTGATCTTCTCACCTTTCCAGAACCTACCATACTTGATGTCACTGTAGTATAATTTCCTTTTATCTCAAAACATCAAAATCCTATATCTGCTAAATTACATTTGCATGTAACTTAATATCGGGTTCAAAAGCACCCTGCAATTTAGTATGTTTTTAACTGGTTTCTGTTACTGTAAAATAGCCTATTTAAGCTGCACTCTGACATGGATGGATTGCTCAGTGGTCTTCAGCTAGTTTCTTCTTTACCTGATCCTTGACCTGCCATACATGCTTACCTGTGTACAACTTGGCTAGCCCCTGACCTGCCCTTGGATTTCTGCCTGCCTATTATGACCTTGTATAGTGACTCTGCTCTTGTCTTGCATTCCTGTACCTCACTGTCTGGCTGTGTACTGATCCCTGCTTGTATCCACTCTTGTCTGCAAAGCAAGTGTCACTGTTCCAGTTCCTGGTTCCTGCCTGGTGATCTACGGTCATTTATTTCCTGCAAATCCCAGCTGGCGCTATCTGCTACAAGCTCTCGTGTCACTCTGTGTCCTCACACTCCTTGTCCTCACTACCAGGGGTGTTGGAAAAGAGTTGCAAGATAAGCCCCCTCTCCAGCTCGATCTCCACCAGATATGTGACAGTTACTCTTATATTAAAGTGACTGTTAAACAAAAACTATTCCATGCAACCCATACTCATAACCTATGCAAACATTGTTTTTGTCCTTAACTTTACCAACCTTCTCTTCACTGAACTTTACTACAACCCCAGGTAAAAAGTATGGAATCACCACCCTTTGAAAATGTTCATTCAATTGTTTAATTGTGTAGAAAAAAAACTAATCAGACATACCTCAAAACTATTTTCATTTAACATTCCAACCTTCTGGCTTTAAAAAAAATAACAAACAAAGAAAACATCAAGCCAGAAGGTTGGAATGTTACATGAAAATAGTTTTGAGGCATTCTGTGATTGTTTTTTTTTTCTACACAATTAAATGAACATTTTCCAAGAGTGGTGATTCAATATTTTTTGTCAGAGGTTGTAATGTGTTCCTTTCTTGGATGATGACAACATAGAAAAAAGGAGTAAAAAAATTTTTTTTTTCCCATTGATCCTTTCTATTCTCTTTGCTTTTGAGAAAACTGTTTTTCTTTTTTGTCTGTGTAAGCCTTCTCCAGTTCTGTACCACAGGAGCTATTTTTGCAAAAGAAATGCAGTATAATAATATAGGCATGAAATGTTTACAGTATTCTGGGTGAAAGCGCATTTTCTGTTTTCAGGGCACCTGGCAGGTATCATTTCTGTAACACCCCCGTCCTCTAGATAACAAATTATTTTAATTAATATTCATGAAATAAAACTAATAATACAAATATGTCCAAAAAAGTCAACCAGACAGTAAAAACTGATGGACATTGTAGTCCCTACCATCACACTGTTGGTGAGTGTAGTTTCTAAGTGAAATTGGCAATTAATGTGGTGCCCCAATCACACTGGAGGTTTTCATAGTTTCTCCAGGTACATTGGTCAGTGTAGAGTGATTGGTGTCAGTGGGTTACTTACTTGGGATGTTCTGGGCTGCAAGCTCTTGCAAGTAACATCAGCACCAGAATGCTGACATCCTTTAAGTTGCGGCTCCGGGGGGGTGGTGCACCTACCACTCTATTGTAGTTATCCCACTGTTTCAAAGCAGACCTTTCCAATTGCTTAGTATCAAAATAACTATCGAACTCTGTGCTAATAGGTAGTGAGATGACTTGCAAGGAATCAATATATGCAAATTCCTAACAGATATAGGGTAAATGCAGTAAAAAGTAAAATGAAACTAAAATGATGAACAGTGCAAATAACTCAACTATATGAAAGAAACAGTATGTGCAACCCATCATAAAATAAATCATGAAACACATAAAAAAGTGCCAAACACAAGTATCGCAAAAGTAAGAAAAAGTGTCCATCAGAGGTACAGCAAAACTGTCTATATATCAATCATATATCAATATATAGATTCAAATGGGGGAGATTTACTAAAACTGATGCACTCAGAATCTGGTGCAGTTGTGGATGGTAGCCATTCAGCTTCTAACTTCAGCTTCAGTAAAGCTTTGACAATAAAACCTGGAAGTTTATTGCTTTCTATGCAGAGCTGCACCAGATTCTGCACTCTGCACTCTCCAGGTTTTGTAAATAACTCCCAAACTGACTATTTAAATCTACATTAATAAGCAGTGGGGCAACCCGCAAGAAATTGACACATACAAATTCCCAACAGTTCCAACGGCAAATGCAGCTCCTAAAAGTAAAATGAAAATAAAGTGATGGATAGTGAAAATAACTCAACTATAACAAAGTAACAATATGTGCAACCCAAAATACACCACCATAAAATAGATCATGAAACACATAAGTTGTGGTAAACACAAGTACACAAAAAAAGAGAAAAAAGGTTCCGTCAAAGGTACAGCAAAGATTGTCCATGAAAGTCATACAAATATATCCACTGATGAGGCAAGTTAAGTGAAGGGTGCGCCGTAACTTCTATAACCCAAATCCGTAGGGACTCGGTGATCAACAGCAGCTGCTTCCACCAATGACTCTGTACTAATGACACTGGGCAGGAAGGGGTTAACATCTGGGGCAATCAAAAGGTTAACTGTGTGCTGTGTATGTTTTACTGTGTAGACAAGCTGCTTTGTATTGCTCTGCTGTGCAGAGCAATACAAAGTAGCTTGTTCGTGCTGACAGGGGAGAGATCTGTATTGTTTACATACAAACCTCTCCCCTGTCAGCTCTGTTGACAACCACCGAGTCCCGGCTGAGAATAGGCAACAGGGACCCAGTGATTGACATGCCGAGAAACCAATAGCGGTGTGGGTAGGGAGCTCACCCCCTACCCGGAAATACAAAGTCACGTATATATATATATATATATATATATATATATATATATATATATATATACATATATATACGTAATTTTTCACAGCCCTGCCACCCTGTAGCAGTAGTTCTGCTATAGGGCAGTCGGGAAGCAGTTAAAATCACTTTTGTATGTTTTTTATTGATTCAGTTTTAATCCTGGAGGTTTAGTATTCATGTTCATATATTTGTATGAATTTTTTGCATATTCACTATAGTACTATTGGCTATTTGGTTATTAAATATGACCCAGAGGGGGGATATTGTATTGATATTAGATTGATGCGGAGATGTCTTTATATTCTTTCTAGCCCTGAGGAAGGGGGTACTCAAGGACCCCCCCAAAAAGCATTGGCTGCTTTTTGGATTGTCCCCTGAATTTTATTGGAATAAAGTATCTGGATCTCTTAGCAGTGGTGTGGCACTTCAATTTAAATTTATGTTACATTACACTACATTGATTATGCATTTCTGGGTAGGGGGCGCGTGCCCTACCCACACCACAATTCGCGGCCACGGATGTCAATCACTGGGTGATTATTCGCCAGTGCCCGGTGATTGTCAAGCATCTCCAACAGGAAGGAGAACTGTATGTAAACAATACAGTTCTCCTCCCTGTCAGCTCGTGCACACTGCTTTGGATGGCTGTGCACAGCACAGTGTGATTACAGTGAGATTACTAGTGGGATTACAAATTACAGTGAAACACACAGACACAAGTAAAACAGCACACAGCACACAGTTAACCCTTTGTTCGCCCCTCAAGTTAACCCCTTCCTGCCCAGTGCCATTGTTACAGTGTCAGTGCTTTTTGTAAACGCTATAACATTCACGTAAACCAATTAATTTACACATATTGGGATTTTTTTTTATAGCAAAGACATGTAGCAGAATACATTTTGGCCTAAATTTATGATGAAATTTGATTTTTTTTTTACTGGACATGTTTAATAGCAAAAATTTAAAAATATAGTTTTTTTCTCAAAATTGTTGGTATTTTTTTATAGTGAAAAAAATAAAAAAACGCACAGGAAATCAAATACCGCCAAAAGAAAGCTCAATTTGTGAGAAAAAAAGGTCGCAAGATTCATTTGGGTGCAGTGTTGCATGACCGTGCAATTGTCAGTTAAAGTAAAGCAGCGCCGTAATGCAAAAAATGGCCTGGTCAGGAAAGGGGGGCAAATCCTCAGGAGGGCAAGTGGTTAACTATGAAATCTACATTTTTGGTTATAATGTTAACATTACATTGTCACAAACTTTTTTTTATCTTTTTACTGAAACAATCCTTCAAGATATATTTTATATTTACAATTGCTACAGTGAAATGATGTTGATCTATCAAAACAATGTCCACTATATCAGGATTCATTTTTATGGGAAACCTGAACCTTGGAAGCTGATACACAATGAGATAAGCTCAGTACTGTTATTGCGTGATGTTTATCACCAAGTTCAGGGACAATGAAAATTCAAAGGCTGAATAATAAAAATGACAAAACAGATTTAGTCACTGTGTTTTCCCCCATGATCACATACATATTCCAATACCAATATAAGTGCTTCATAAAATAACTCTGCTGCATAAAATCTTCACTAACACAACTTTAGTTTATGGCATTTCTAGAACCCAGGAGTATGAGAGTACAATGTGAAGAAATACTGTTACGCTCATTTTTTTTTCCCCTGATGTTCTAAGTGTTCACAGAGCATGTTAATCTGTCCGTATAGGTCAACTCCTAAATACATGGATGATTTTTAATTGTGCAAACTATGTGCCCAAGGCTGATTACAGATGTCAGCGTTCAATTGAATTACTTTGCTAGTTACCTAGCTTAGCAATCACCTTTGAATTCACTGGGAAGTAGATTGGAACAATAGCTTGCAGGAATCTTAACCACTTCCTGTCCGCCCTGTAGCAGAATATGGGTGTGCAAAATCATGTATATATACGTGATTTTGCATCTCCGGGTCGCCATTCGTGGCCGCGGCTGTCAATCACCGGGTCCCAGCCGGTGATTACTCGCCAGCGCTCAGTAATTTCTGATGTGGAGAACTGTTTTGTTCTTCTCCCTGTCAGCTCAGGCACACTGCTTTAGCTGGCTGTGCGCAGCACAGCCATCCAAAACAGTGTGGTTACAGTGAAGCACACTGGCACAGCCCCCTAGAAAAACACTCCCAGCTCAAAACTGACCCTTTGATCGCCCCTCATGTTAACTCCATCCTGCCCAGTGCCATTGGTACAGTGTCAGTGCTTTTTTTTAGCACTGGTCACTGGACTGGTGTCACTGGGGATGTCAGTGACACCCAGTCAGTTCTCCCCTAGTGTCAGAATGCCTGCCGCAGTCCCACAGTCCTGCTACTGATTGCCGCCATTACTAGTAAAAAAAAAAAAAAAATATTCCAGTATCTATACTGCCATTTGTAAACACTAAAACTTTCATGTAAACCATTTAATTTACATGTATTGGGTTTTTTTTTAGCAAAGACATGTAGCAGAATACATTTTGGCCTAAATTTATGATGAAATTTGATTTTTTAAATTTTTTTACTGGACATGTTTAATCGCAAAAAGTAAAAAATATTGTTTTTTTCTCAAAATTCTCTTTTTTTATTTATAGCGCAAAAAATAAAAAACACATAAGCGTTCAAATACCACCAAAAGAAAGCTCATCTTGTGGGAGATAAAGGACGTAAATTTCATTTGGGTGCAGCATTGCATAACCGCGCAATTGTCAGTTAAATAACAAAGCGCCGTAACGCAAAAACTGGCCTGGTCTGGTAGGGGGGTAAATCCTCAGGAGGGCAAGTGGTTAACATGTTCATAGGTGGTTTGCGGCACAACTAGCAATCGCCCATATACTCTGAGATCTGTGGTATATGTTTCAGAAATAGTTTTTTTTGTCAAAGCTTAATTGAACAAGCTGACATTAGATGCTGATTGGCTAGCACAGCTGCACCAAATTTTGCACTCTCCATTTTTAGTAAATTAACCCCCTAATATCTTTTCTCTTTTAGGTGGTGAAGGTACATTGGTAGTGGAACTTTTTGTTGATAACACTGTTCAACAAATTTTTATTTTTTGCCAGTTTTGGAAACAAAAGGATCCATTTCTTAATGAATTTCACATTCTGAGTTCAAATATAACAATGAAATTTGTCAATTGGCTCTAGTTTTTTCTGTAAACGGAAAGTTTTTCTACTATAGGCGTAATGACTACATAATGCACAATAATTATATAGATAGATGTCTTTCCACAAATATAAAGCAAGTGATATTGACTACATAACAAAGCCTAAATGGCATAATATATTGCATAGGATTACCAAGAAAAATTATAGCCATAAGCTAAGTTGAATCATTTTAATACTTAGGATTCTCACTAGTTTTGTCTTCAGTTTGTGTCGGTTTTGCTTCTCTTGGCTTTTCTCTTGTATTCGAGGAAAGGGCTATCTCTTACAACTGCACGTGACTACACGCTTCAGGTTCTTCCTCACTTGACTCAACCACGAAGGATTCTGGTGCTTTAGGAATTAGTAGCCCCTCTCCATGAGGAACTGGACGTATTGCCGATGGAATATTTGGATAGTGCACAGATAACTTTTTCTTCTTATTTAGCCCTTTTACATACAATTGGGAGGCACCATACAAAAGTAACAATTTTACTAACATGATCTGTTGGCTCTCTCCAAATCATTGGCACAGTGAAAGGCATAGATGCCTTTTTTCCATTCAACCATTGCTCCAGTGCCGTCCCACAAGAATTGCAGCATATATGTGGTGCCCAGCTCTTGTCCTGGTCTCCTATTTGCAGCCAAAATACAAGTTGTAGGCTTTCTTAATCATTCCTGTTATCCTCCTTTTTGTGAGATAAAAGTTATTTCACCGCAGATATAGCAAAATTATCTGCTTTATTCACACAAGTTCGAGGCATTACTGAGTAGCCTATATAAGCATAAAACGAAATGTAAAGACGCTGTCGAACTACAATCAGCTACAGATACTGCAGCTTTTATGCAGTGAAGTGATGCAATTAAAGGCTAATATTGCATCATCTCAGTATACATGCAATTTTCTATTGGTCACCAATATCAATTGCGCAATATGCAGCTGAAGTTGCATCATAATTTTGAATGGCTTACGTCATTAGATGGGTGAATATATCATGGAAACTAGAGCCAATCAACATTTTTTAGGGTCATTTTCGTTTTCAGCACCCCAAAATTATGTAAGATTAGCTAATTTTATGCCCAAAACTTTTTACCTGTTGAACAGTGTAATCTGCAGATGGCAGTGCCTTTGTAGTTCATATTGATTAATGATAATGTGCTAATGCTGAAAGGAATTTTCTGAATTTGTTCACACTCAGTGCTGTTGTGTGATGTCAGCTAGTAATATACAGTAAGATGAAGGACACCCATTTTCAGTTGAATGCCCCTTTAAGCCATAAAACTACATACAATTTTATTTCTGCAAGCTTTCTGCTTGTAAACTTTTATGGACAAACAAAGTTGTCTGACTAATATTAGTTCAGGACTAAATAATTGTTTGATGCTTTTGTTCTTAATGCAGTATAAATACAGTCTTTAGGGATTGCGTACTTCTTTGTTGACAAAGCAGATTCAGTAGTGCTTAGTAGTATTTGATTTTTCCGGTGGCATTAAACATATTAGTTAATGAGATTTGAGGCTTTATTTTAAACGTTATTACAAAGAAACGTAGCATAGCCCTCAGCAACCAATGACATATAATAATTACATGTGTCATTAGCCTAGCTTACAGAATCTTCAAAATAGCTCATATTTAATTGGTATTAGAAGCTACAGCCTGTGTGTTGTACTTTGTAGTGGTTTATTTAAATCAATGTAAAAGTTAAATAGTATACATTTATGCTGCATGGGGGCAATTGAATAGTTTTTGATAATATAGAATACTGGTATATGATTGCCCATACTGTACATCTTGGAGTAAATATTATTATTTATATAGCCAGAACATAAGATCATCATAAAGGGTGCAGAAAAAATGATGCATTGTATCTCTGAGATTTAAAAATATTGCTATAACAGGATCTGACGGAGTTTATAATTGTCTGAATCTTACAGCTGTAGGATTGAGAAACAGAAAACTGATACCTTTTATATACAGAACATTGGAGATGAAATTAAAAACATTGGTGCAGAATACGTGTTTTAAAGATTTTAGCGATTAACCACTTGCCCTCCAGAGGATTTACCCCCCTTCCTGACCAGGCCAATTTTTGCAATACAATGCTGTGTTACTTTAACTGACAATTGCGTGGTCATGCACCGCTGCACCCAAATTAAATGTATGTCTTTTTTTTCCCCCACAGATAGAGCTTCCTTTTGGTGCTATTTAATCACCTGTGCATTTTTATTTTTTGTGCTATAAACAAAAAAAGACTTTTTGCTATTAAACATGTCTAGTAAAAAAAATGTAAAAATCAAATTTTGTCATAAATTAAGGCCAAAATGTATTCACATATATATTTCTTTGCTAAAAAAAAATCCCAATACGTGTACATCAATTGGTTTCCGTGAAAGTTATAGCATTTACAAATGGCGGTATATATACTGGAATTTTTTTTTTGTACTAGTAATGGCGGCGATCAGCGACTTATAGCGGGACTGTGGTGGGCATTCTGACACTATACTAATGGCACTGGGCAGGAAGGGGTTAACTTGTGTAGCGATTAAATGGTTAACTGTGTGTGCTGTTTTGCTATGAGGCTGTGTGCCGTTTTTCACTGTAAGCACACTGCTTTGTATGGCTCTGTTATGCAGGGCCATACAAAGCAGTGTGCAGGAGCTGACAGGGGAGTGATCTGTATTGTTTACATACAGGTCTCTCCTCCATTGGAAATCCTCAGAAATCGACGGGTGCCAGATGGGAACCACCGACCGGGACCCAGTGATTGACAGCCAAGGCATGGGTAGGGTGCACGCATGGAGTGCATGCGCTCCCTACCCTGACCTGCAAAATCACACACACACACACACATATATATATATATATATATATATATATGTATACAGTGAGGAACAGAAGTATTTGAACACCCTGCAATTTTGCAAGTTCTCCCACTTAGAAATCATGGAAGGGTCTGAAATTCACATTGTAGGTACATTCCCACTCTGAGAGACAGAATTAAAAAAAAATTCAGGAAATCACATTGTATGATTTTTAAAGAATTTATTTGTCTTGCACTGCTGAACATAAGTATTTGAACACCTGAGAAAATCAGTGTTAATATTTGGTACAGAGGAGGAGGAGGTTGTTGCTCAAAATCTCACAAAAATGGCCCCATTCATCCTCTCCTTAATACAGTGCAGTTGTCCTGTCCCCTTCACAGAAAAACACCCCCAAAGCATGATGTTACCACCCCCATGCTTCACAGTAGGGATGGTGTTCTTAGGATGCAACTCATCCTTTTTTTCCTCCAAACACGACGAGTGAAGTTTAGACCAAAAAAGTTCTACTTTGGTCTCATCTGACCACATGACTTTCTCCCATGCCTCCTCTGGATCATCCAGATGGTCACTGGCAAACTTCAGACGGGCCTGGACATGTGATGACTTGAGCAGGGGAACCTTCCGTGCAATGCATGATTTGAAACCATGACGGCGTAATGTTCTACCGACAGTGACCTTTGAAACTGTGGTCCCAGCTCTCTTCATGTCATTGACCAGCTCCTCCCTTGTAGTTCTGGGCTGATTCCTCACCTTTCTTATCATCAGTGATATCCCACAAGGTGAGATTTTGCATGGAGCCCCAGTCCGAGGGAGACTGACAGTCGTCTTTAGCCTCTTCCATATTCTAACAATTGCTCCAACAGTTGATCTATTTTCACCAAGCTACTTGGCAATTGCCCCGTAGCCCTTTCCAGCCTTGTGGAGGTCCACAATTTTGTCTCTGGTGTCTTTTGACAGCTCTTTGGTCTTGCTCATGGTAGTAGTTGGCATCTGACTGACTGTGGGGTGGACAGGTGTTTTTAAAGAGCTCAGACAGGTGCTACTAAGTTAGATTAATGAGTGGAGTAGAGGTGGACTTTTTAAAGGCACAGTAACAGGTCTTTTAGAGCCACAATTCTTGCTGTTTCTTAGGTGTTCAAATACTTATGTTCAGCAGTGCAAGACAAATAAATTCTTTAAAAATCAAACAATGCGATTTCCTGAATTTTTTTTTTAATTCTGTCTCTCAGAGTGGGAATGCACCTACAATGTGAATTTCAGACCCCTCCATGATTTCTAAGTGGGAGAACTTGCAAAATTGCAGGGTGTTCAAATACTTCTGATCCTCACTGTATATATATAATATATACATGTGATTTTGTGCACCCGTGCCTCCCTGTCACAGTATTTCTATTACAGGGTGGCGCAGAGGTAGTTAAAGAAATATTGTGTACCTTCCAACATTGCAAAGTAAGCACATCTTACTTACGTTACCCCCGATCTAAATTCCTTTCAATAAATTTTTATTGAAAAAGTTTATGTTTTTAGAAGATACAGTTGCAACCGCTGTTGTGTATAAAATAACAATTCCGTAACAAGTAACACAGTAGATGGTATGTCAAAAAGTACATTGACCGTGTTGTAACAATGGATCAGTGTGAAAAACCAAAGAACATCCATACGCCTATAACCTAGAATCAGGCATTGGTGAGAGAGGTGTCAGTATATGAAATTCACTGATCCCCCCCCCCCCCCCACATCTAAATTCAGTGTAGATCTGCCATTCAATGAAACATACATTAGCTTCAGCTAGTCAGGTGATCTTAATGGTTTATAGCAATGTTTTGGCTTATTTTTAGGACTGGATTCACTCCTTTCTATGAGCATTTTTCTGTATAAATATGCATGTAATGGGTGACTTTTGGCTGCAGCTCCCAGGGGTTCAGGTAGGCAGGCAAGCTGGCCAAATTTGGCCATTCAGTAAAACTGTGAACAAACTGGTTTTTGGTCAAACTCAGATCTGAGCCCAAAATTCACATTCACTATATTCTCTTCACTGATTACATCTTTAGGTCAAATAACAAAATGCCCATATAGTGTATACTGTATATGATAGATATCACTAAACAGTAATTGTGTAAAGTCCTGATTGTATTTCCAGATCCTAAGCTTTAATAGTACACAGTATGATTATGTTTTACTTGGGATGAATTCAAAACCATAACACAATTCCTAAGATGCAAATCTCCATTTTTTCCCTCAAAAATAAATCACCTGAGGCTAGGTTCACACTTTTCCTCTAGGGTGCATTAATGCGAGTCGCATTAGGCATCACATTCAAAATGAATGGGCTGGTAATGAGCCTCAAGGTCCGAAGAGAACATGCACCTTTTGTGGAAGTGCAACTCCAAGGCACATCCATTGGCATGGTGCATCAGGTTGAGTGAATCAATGACAGAACTTTGCACCAATGCATGTGATGTGCACTGCTATGCATTGTAGTAACACACACAGTAATGTGCTCATTCCAGCAACATAAAAGTGGCAACTGAGCCTCGGGAATCAGAGGTAGTTCCGGCTTGCAGCTTTACAAGGGGTTAAACAGTTCTACCAAGTTTGTTTCTTTTCAGAACTCACAGAATGTACATCTTCCTCACATTGACTGTGTGCACCTTCTTTGCAGACAGTTTCTAGGCTGCAGCTTCTTGTATTGTTAAAACAATGGCAGGGGGAGCTGGGTACTGCCAGAGGTAACATGTAATAATGCAATGGGGAGCAGTACTTTTAAAAAGGCTTAAATGGCAACATGAAAAAAAGCACAATTTCTTCAAATAACATGCTTAGGGGATAGTCTAAACCTGCCCATGAAGTAACACACCTGTACAATGTACTAAAGCACAAATACCAATTAAATTGTAAGTAAATGGTAGTTCATGGGCAGTTCATTCTGTTTTTGGCTTGGGATTTCCTTTAACGTCTATACTAGACCCTTATCCAGGAAAACAGACAGTACAGTTAGAATACAATTCAATACAAGAGGAATCTGAGAGCCATGCTTGTTAGAGCTTACAATCTAAGAGGGAATTTCAATAAATAGAAATGTAATAACTGTAGGGGATGAAAATAAATGCTCCCAACATAGGGCGGTTACTGTGGGGGCAAAGTAAGAGTTCTAAAGTGCCTCATCCTAACATTTGCTAAATGTAGATTGGATGAAAATCATGGACTTTAGGCACTACAATAATTCATAAAATTCAATGTTTTATTAAATATGTACACATAGAAAATCACGTACAGAATATAACCTATCCTTGTAACATATGAGGAAATCAATGTAGATTCAAATACTATTAGTAGACCACACAACCTCATAGATTTGCCATGTCTCAGCAATAACTGAAAGGGGTACTCTTAATTGTGATGATGATGGCTCAACATCTTTTGCGATTATATCGCTTCTTCAGGAGCTATGAGAAACTTTCTAGATAAAAGAAAAAAGTAACATTGGTAAACGCACAAATATCTTACAGAAAATGAATACAGGATACAAATGTCAGCGCAAATGGTAGTAGAACAGATACAATAAATCTATATACTGAGGGGGGCAGCAGCAGCAGGACACCTAACTACCTAGGAATGCATATGGTCAATAATCTTTTTGGTTAATCTTTTTATGTACCCCACACCAACCAACCCTGAATAAAAGCATCTAAAGCAGTATCACGCTATGAGGTCTCTTATTGGGCACTCTGTGTGAGTGCTATCATTCGCAGTGCCCATCTGGAGGACTCAGGACCCTGGTGGTGATACCTGGTAGCGGTTTCAGATGACTTCACTTCTGTGGAACCGGGATGGTGATCTGGGTACAATCTGATCTGGGATCTGATGATCATTTTATGGCCTGGTGATGCAGGATTGCATATTGCGTATATTAAACGCACATCTGGTGAGTGCGTTTTTCACCTATTTGTGTGATCACACCTACCATCACACCTTGGATCAGGACGTCCACTCACCTTGAATTGGGATCTCTCCATGATCCGCACTATTACATTGAACTTTTGTATCTATTGATCACCCTTAGAGTGATATCATGCATGTTTATATATTGTGTGTATAAACTGTGCTCTAGTATTTAGCGCTGCACCATTTATTTAATATATATGTTCGATTTGGAGGTTTTACTTGGTTACCTTTTCGGTGTATCAGCTGCTCACTAACGTTTTTGTGTATACACATCGATACACTTTTTGTATTTAAGTCGCGCTCACTATCACATCTTTTATTACAAATCTATATACACCCTGTTCCAAATTATTATGCAAATTCTATTTAAGTGTCACAAAGATTAAATATTTTGTTTTTCAGGTAAAACTCATGGATGGCATTGTGTCTCAGGGCTCTTTTGATCACTGAAAACAATCTCGGACACCTCTGATAATTAGATTGGCCGGTGAGCCTAATTTAAGGAAAAATTACTAAAGGACGGTGTTCCACATTATTAAGCAGAGCACCATTTTCAAGCAATATGGGGAAGAAAAAGGATCTCTCTGCTGCCGAAAAGAGTGAAATAGTTCAATGCCTTGGACGAGGTATGAAAACATTAGATATTTCATCGCAATATTAAGAGATTTGTGGCTGATTCAGAGCACAGATGGGTTTGTGCAGATAAAGACACATTGAGGAAGATTTCTGCTAGATCCATGCATTGGATCAAGAGAGCAGCTGCTAAAATACCATTACACAGCAGCAAACAGATATTTGAAGCTGCTGGTACCTCTGGAGTCCCACGGACATCAAGGTGTAGAGTCCTCCAGAGTCTTGCAACTGTGCATAAACCTTCTATTCGGCCACCACTAACCAATACTCACAAGCAGAAACGGCTGCATTGGGCAGAAAAATACATGAAGACTAATTTTCAAA